TTGCTGATATACCTTGGATACAAACAATTAAAAAGAACAATACTTTTGATATCTCTCTACTTTCAATCGTGCTTAGACAGAAAGACCAAAGAGATAGTACAGATGAAACCAAGATGATGAGAACCTATAGGCTGTCCTCTTTACTGAGCTGTTTGACCTGGAGCATGACCCTGTAATGGACGTTGTGAATTCGACAAAAGAGAAGGCAAAATACTTAATAAAAGGGAATGACAAATATCAAGAGACCATGTAATATTTTGTTAATTGAGCCAGGAATGCATATCGTGGCAAAAAATCTGCTTAAAAGCAACAGCCACCCAGTTTAATCAGGTCTAGATTATTCTGATCATCCAAACAAAATTTGTTTCCCTTCAGTTAATCCACTTGCCAAAGACATGGACACAGACAGCAGGCTGGGAGTAAAAAGAACTTTGATGTATTTCTGCTCTTTAAAGGAGGTTTTGGACAGAATTGGCCTTAGAGGAGAGTTCTGCTAAGAAAATAGGCGGTATTGCTTTAGAGTGATGGGCAAAGCAAGATTATTTTTAAATAGTTACCTTGGCTAGGAATACAATCACTTTGCTGTTCACACTGTCAAACAGAAATGGTGACTCAATCTTGGTCTTTTGTCAAATTCAACTAAAAAAAGCAGACTTCATATTTTATTTAGACTCGCCCTTTTAAGACTTCAGACTACATTGTATTTCTGGCATCTTATTTGCTTGCTAAGCTGGAGTCATTATTGAACCAACAAAACATTGTTGGTGTTTCTTTTTAATGAAAACCACTGTTTACTCTGTTCTTTCAGCAAGTTTTTAATGACATTTACTGTCTCAAAATTTTCTTAATATATATAGTCCATGTTGATACCTACTGTACCTGGGATTGAATGTTTAAAATGTTGATAAATAAAATTCTCTCTTAAGCAGACTGGGATAAACATGATAAACCTGCAAACCCACTCTTAAAACATTAGTATTATTAAAAGTTAGCATTACAAAGGCACTGGTTGTCCTTCAAAATAAAAGCATTTCATTCTGGACTTGTTCTAGAAATCCACATTGACTGGTCCTTTATATATATTTTTAAACAGAGATTATTATTTATACTGAAGTATATACCGGTATTTGTAATTATAATTGTATATAGATATATACAATTTGAATTTAAGTTTTAAACAAATATTAAATTTCTAATAAGGCATCAAAATTAAACTCTGCATGATCTGAATTAAGGACCTAAAGAAAGGCAGCTTTTTAGCAAAAATACTGTGAATGCATCAAATGAGAAAATGTTAATTTCAGGCTTCAGAGGCTTGAGGTAGAAAAATACCTTATTAGCATCCAACTATCTCTGATGTTAAAAGATTCGACACAATTTTTAAAACCTTTTTTTCAAAAAATGTTATGAAATTGCCAACCAAGCTGTCTGCTCTCTTTGCTTCCCTTAAGACACTGCCTGTCATTATGGATTTGAAACCTAATTAGTTTGAGACACCTTATATTCATGACTGTGACCTTTCCCACTGGTTTCACACTCGTCTCAGTAATTTGCACTCATTTTGTCAGATCGACCTCATGTAGCTCTGACGGCACCCAGCGCACTGAGGATTAAGGTTATGAATTGGCGTGAAGAATGGCGGCTGGTGGTGTTTTGTGTGGGCAGAGGTCAAAGATGGGAGGTCGCTTTCAGGTCGCAGCGTTGTTTTCTTTAAGTACTCCGTTCTCTCAATACAATCCTTGTAAAGGAGCTTTGCTCACATCAAGATAATCGGCCGTCTCCTGTTGATTGTTGCCATTCCATTTGCAAAAATCAGATGCAGAGCATTTACACAAAAATCTAACTCAATCAATGCACAATAAAATCATAAAACACTGAGAGATGCATTGAACACTGAGAAGATTTATAGTAATATATAGTAAAAATACTTTTGTAATGCAAATTGTTGCCATGGATTTCTTTATCTTTAACATACCCAGGTATTGTTTCCTAGATGCACAATTCTTGTTCAGAAAGTCTGGTATCCTAATAGAATGTAGTAATTGAAATATAAAACAGCTTGATTCCTGACTTCATAAGGTGTCTGTAGATTCTAAGTGGCCATAAAGCACTTTTTCCGATGTGCTGAGAGCTCCTCTTGGGTCAAAGGTCAGGAGGTCTAAAGCAGCCCCAAACAGAGAGAGTGGCAGAAGATAAGAAAAAAAGGAGGAGCAAATATCTGCAAGGTGAACCCAAAATATTTTTGGTGACTCTTAAAATGATCTGGATTAGGAATTACTGTCAGTCTGCCTGTCTGATTTGATCCATCAGTTTATTTTTTTGTTTTTTTTTAGCTTTCATAAATACCGTTAACAGAACAGTTTTAAGTATTGTTAACTTTGTATGATTTCCACCGCTGTAAAGAAATATATAAACATGAATCGTTGCATAGATAAGAAGTTTATAAAGTAAAGAATATGCTGATGAAGATTCCCAGTCACCCAGGTCATAGTCATTCCGTAAAAGTTCAAAAAAATCCACTGGATTTGGTTTCCAAGATTTGAAGACGTTTCGCCACCTCTCCAGGAAGCTTTCTCAATTCAAATGTGTACACATTTGAATTGAGAAAGCTTCCTGGAGCTTCCGGAATAAAGTAAAGTAAGATGTCAGATGTGTTGGGCTTAATGACCCTTCGCTGAACTTTCCCTGAAGGGATAAATTACAGCAGTCAGTGTTTGGTGACCAAACCTGGGTTCCTCTTTACTTTGCCTCCTTTATGGTCCAAATGACTTTCTAAGGCTGTATTTTACCCCAATGTCAGACTTTAAAGAGGAAGTCAGGCCTAGGCTGGGAAAAGATGTCCAAAGTGTATACTCGATTATCCGTCATTAAAACGACACCAAAGTAATTTATTTTTTTTGTAAATAGGCATCAAGGGTTTAATATTGTGTTGCCCTTCGATGGACTGGCGACCTGTCCAGGGTTTACCCCACCTCTCGCCCTTTGGCAGCTGGAGATAGGCACCAGCATTCCTCGTGACCCTGCTTGGGATAAAGCGTGTCTGAAAATGGATGGATGGGTTTTATATTTAAAAATGAACCATATTGACCGGTTTCCATTCTTCTTCCTGTATTGGTTCCAGCTATCCATCCTTAGTCTATATAAGTTGTTCCTTAACTTCCTCCCTTTGGTTTAGAACAAAGTCAGCACCACCCCTGACCGGCTAATTTTTCAAGAGTTAAACAGAGAAAAGTTGACCTCTAACTTGCAAAAACATTGTGGAAACCTTCAGGTGTTTTACCACCACCTGCTAGTAAGAAGTGCAATGACTTTATTAGGACTTGTGTGCCTGCAAAAATATGATTTATAGTATTTTTAGTGATTTATATTTGCAGTATTTGTTGTGGTTTTGCAAAGTTATAGCTTTGTTACTTCTAAACTTGTATTTTCACAAAGGAAACACTTGATCCCACATATGTATGAGTTGAGGTACAGCCACCAAACACAAATGTATTCCCTTTCATTGACTTTCATCTAAAATTCAAACACTTGCACATTCATTTTATTGACAGTCATCTTACTCCATACATGACCCCCCCACCCCCACTTTAGTAACAACCAAAATCAAACCAAATCTTCTCTCAGCTCTCTACTAACAACCTTATTATATACAAAAACAAATTAATACAATTTAATATATGTCTCTTACTGTAGAATAAATTAGAAGAATATTCAAACCAAGTTATATGACAACAGCTATTTTGGATTCATTTCACACCCTTAGTTTACAAATAAAGTTTTTATATATTTGCTTGTTAAAAACTGCAAATATTTGCAGGAAAAAGTTACTAAATGTTTTAATTTTGTTTGTCACAAATTGACTTAATTATGGCCAAGAGAAATGTTTTTCTGGGTAGGACATATTTGCATTTAAAGAAGCAGTTCTCTTTAAATGCTTCATACTTCCTTTGCAAAGCAAAGTGAAACAAACACCTGAACAGCATCTAAACATCTCAGATAATCACTTTTTAATGGATTACATGTAAATTAACACATCGATTAGTCAGAGGAGATTCATCGGTTTTTAAATTTAGTTTTATAGTGTGTATCAGAGTGGAAATGGATTTAAAAGTGTTGCAACCTGAAGCCCTCAGGTTAGTATCTTTAAAACAAAAAGGTGTATCGTCCAAAGTAAAGTTCCCGATTGGCCTTGTGCGTTTGCCCTGTGTAATCAATTAGAGGAGAAATGGGTTTTCCCTTGCAAAGCAAACATACCAGGCCTGCAGACCTTGGTGGTTCTTTACATTCTGTGACCTCTAAGTTTAACAGGAGTCACATGATTACGCCATGAAAAGATCGGCTTACAAACAAAGGCTTTAAACGTCTGAACCTGAAGTTCTATCTTCAAAGTCTTTAACTCCCCAGTTTTACTTAAATTCAGATTTTAGAGGTGCTCTGTGTCTTCAGGTTTTTAAGTAGAAACCTATGACCATTGCCTCACCACAGCTTTTTTTATGTGACACTTTAATAGCTTGTTTCTTATCCTTCTGTATCTTCTGTCTAATGTGATGCAAGCAGTAGATATGAATGAAGCTGTCATTTTTTTTCCCCAGCCTTGAAAATAACTTTTAAGAATCTTTGAAGGGTCCTGATACTAAGCTAAATTAATATTTGGGCACGTCTGGGGTCCTAAGCATACTTCTTACAGGTCTTGAGCTCTAGGATCAATATTTAAGCCCCACCCAGGTGCCATCAGACATCAATAAGGTTTGGTCAAAGAAAGAAAAACTGAGAAAAATACCAGCTTAACACAGGTCTCTGAGGTTAAAGCTGTTTTTATTCATAACTCACACATCCTCAATAGGGGGATGTGTCAGTTTTGTATTTTCTCCAAGGGAAAGGGGAAATATATATATAATTTATTTTTATTTCATTTTTTTTTATAAGACAAAATTTAGAAACTGTAAAAGAGATAAAAGGCTTTCCAGCTAAAGTTTTGTGTGTTTTTGTGTGATTTCCAGGGGGCTTTTCATCACCATTCATGACCGTGGCCACATTGCTTCAATCCTCCAAAACTGGCCTGAAAAGGACATTAAGGTAAACATCTGACCACTGCTTTCTTTAACTGAACTCAAACTGAGAGACAGATATATATTTTTACCGTTTTCTCTGGGGTTTTCTATTCATTAGATTAAAAAAAATAAAAATCAGTCTGACTGGTCTATTTTTTGACCTCATCAATGACCAGTTCTAATTTCGGGTTAATCAGTTGTGTAGTTGTACAAGGAAGTATACATAGCCTGATGAATATAGTTTATTAACCTAAAGCAATATGCATGGTATGGTTGTTCCATGTTAGGTACTCTGGTCATTGACCTTGACCAAGGCACCTTACAGTAGAACTGCAGTCAGTCCCTGGACTTGCATGGTTATCATTGCCCCTACATAGTTAGGGACTAATTTCCCACTGGGATCAGCTTAATAGTCATGGTAGGACACTTCTTTGATTTTATTTATTTTGCTCAGTCTACTCGTAAGCCCACACCCCACCAAATGTTGAAAGGGCAATATTATTGCCATTAATGTTAATATATAGTAGAAATTTTACAAATTCAGTAATAAAATGTCTCAGGGGATGGTGTGGGGGGATGGTAATAAAGAAGGGTGATGAATGAGTACTGGGGTTTATGCTCTCGTTAAGAAAAATATTCAATAATAGAGATTTGCAGTGAGACATGAAATCAGTCACTAGCCTTAACCCAAAGTTTGCCTCATATGGAAATTAAGTATTTTTCTTGATACCAGTTCTCAGCCCAGGAGATCTGTCATGGTGCAGTAAAAGAGCTTAAACAGAAAAAGCTGAAACTAACAAAAGCCCTGCCAGTTCAGCCAAGAAGGACTTTTCAGCTAAAGTTCATCACGTCCAGGCTATGAAGCCTCAAAAAACAAACAAAAAAAATGCTAAAGGTGTGATTATTGGACTCTAATTTTGCATTATCTTTGATCTGGTTATACACTGGATTCTTCTACAACTACCAGATATACCAATATTACCTGTTTACTCCATAAACCATAAATTTGAATCTGTTTTTCTTAACCTAAAATTGAGACGGGTCAAACCTACATCGGATTATTCTTCTCAGACTAAAGCTAATCAATCCCCTCCTCTTTTCTGCTGTTCATGAATATGAAGGATTCATACTCTCAGCAGGACCAAGACACCACCAGGCATTCCTCGCATGTCAGCTATACCTGCGGCCGCAGCCACCTGTTCACAGCTGTCAACAGCAAGGCATTTACTGCGCCTGAGATCCAGCTTTTCTCAAGGTGGTCTTGTTAACCTTAGTCAGTAATGTCCTACTTTCAACATTTCATAAAGGAGCCAAGGTTGTGGTTCCCCGATAAGCCTGAGCAGCTAGAACACATTAACAAGATGGAGATGAAAAAAAAGAAACATCATGGAAAACTAATCAAACACTCTGAACCTGTGAGATTGTCGGAAGAAAAAAACTGCGAAAAGTCTGTGCCTTTAGCAGCACTTCTCCTTTAACTCTTCTCCTCATGTCAGGTGTTACATAATGACTGATATTTTTAACCCAGTGGAGGAAAGTTTTATTGGGTCCCCAGCTCACGCATCTTTATTGGTACCAGAAATGATGGAATGGAAAAATGGCTTAGTTGAGGCAAATAAGGGCAACTTTTTTACTTTTATATTTAAGATTTGGTATTGCAGTTTTTTTTCTTGTTTTATTCTAACAAGCACATATTTCCAGCTTCCTAGTAAAATAAAAAGTCAGCTTTTCATTGTGATTGACAGGCTGTCTGTGTGACGGATGGAGAGAGGATTCTGGGACTGGGAGATCTGGGCTGCCATGGAATGGGGATCCCGGTTGGCAAGCTGGCCCTCTACACAGCCTGTGGAGGAATGCCTCCCCAGCAGTGCCTGCCTGTCATGCTGGATGTTGGCACAGACAACGAGGTAAGCACCAAGGTCCTACAGAGCTTTAGTAAAAGGAGTCATAGCTTTTGAACCTCCATCAAAATCACAAACATCTTCAAGTGTTGTTTGTATTTTCATTCAACCTTTTAACAGGATACCTTTAATAAAATAATTTTACTTAGAAGTTACCTGGTTGGTTAAATTAATAAATGAATTAGATTTTTTAGATAGCCTTTTAATAAATGAAATCAATTCAAATCCTTTTTATTTTCTGAGGAAGTTTTAGTCTAATAAACACAAAAGGGGTTAAGTGTGACTTATAAAGAGTAGAGTAGATTTGTTATTCCACAGTGCAGGACTTGCCACAGAGGTAAGTCAAACACACTTTACAGACGGAGAGAGGAAACACCCTGTACTGTAGTGAGGTCAACAACTCTGAACATGCCAGCTGGGAAAGCACCTTTCTTCTCTGCCAGTCTGTGATGCTAAGGGAACTGCAGTTGTGTCTGCTGATATTTTCCATTTTTATGGCACCCTGCTTGGAGGAGGAGACAAACTTTTGGTAGGAAATGATGCGCATCTGCAGCCTCAAACTGCTTTTATAACAGAATCAATAGAAATTAGTTGTCCTCTATAAAGCAACTTTGAGATGATTCCATGAATCTGCTTTCACTCCAAGAGAGATGTCTTCATGATTTTAGTCTGAGATAAAGCAGCGGTTGGGAGGCTTTACATACCAAACGCCAGGCTCACTCTCAACACGGTGCAGCTGCAATGTTTTGTGAACATTCACATCAGCGTCGGTGCGGTGCTCAAGGAGAAGTTTAGCCAGACGCTGCAGTGATCTCCTCAGCAAGTTCACGAATTTCACAAGACAAATGGGAAAGGTCAGGCACCAGAGAAAAAAGGCCTGGTGAACTTCATAATAAAATCAACCCACAACCTACGCTAACTTGACTAGCATAAAACAAAAAGACAAAACAAAAATCAAAAGGTAGCAGAGGGGCTTTTGGAGGATTAAAAGTGGATTAATGCATACAGATAAGAAGTTATACCGACTTAGCCTGATAAACCAGACTAAATGGGAGATGAAAAGTGTAATTTAGTCTGGCCCCGATGAATGAGACATCGGAAGATTTTTGATGAAAACAACACGTTGTCTTTCAAACCATGTCTGTGTCTATTGGCCAACGCTCTGACCAATGAGCGCAACTGACTGTGATGTAGTAAGCACGACAGAAAGCTGGTGGGGGAGTGTAAACAAACAGCCTGTCGATAAAACGGCGAATACGTCCTTCTTAAAAATGAATGAGCGTAGAGCCTCTTCCTGCTCACGTTTCAATGAAAAACGCCAAGTCAAAGTCCCTGAGTCAAAAATCGCCATCATAGCAGCGGTCCTTCAAACACGACTACACTGAGAGAGGGCCGTTAGACAGCTGCCGTTAGCCCTGGCTGCCTTTAGCTTCCGAGGTCCACTGGTTGCCGCAGTCTTCTCAGCTTCGGAAATATTTTTTTAAATTACGCGTTAAATCTGTAAATGCACTATATAGGGACGCTTTAAAGTATAATATTCTTGCCTCAAATGATCTTAAAACATACTTTTATTGAACAATAGCAACAGCAAAGAGAACTTTTAACTTTCAGTGGAGCTCTCATTAAAAGCTGCTGCTGCCGCAGTGCATGCTACTGTTCAATAGTTGTTGCCATCTTCCTTGTTAGCTTTCTCCAACGTCACGCAGCTTTGTCTGCCTGCTTTTCATCCAAAATTTCAATGCACATCTCTGCGTTGTGATTGGCCCGCCAGATTTAGGGCCTAGGGCTCTGATCGAGGCTAGACCAAACTCGCAGGCAAAAATGATTTTGGCCGCTGGTGGGTGGGGCTAGTTCACTAGGCTAATCTCAACCACTTTTGAAAAGAGGGTGAACCCTTATTTACCTCTGTTCACCTGAGCGCCGTTTCCACAGTTGGAGCCGTAGCTCACAGCGTTTAGGCAGAGCCCAGCGTAAGCGAACCATGATACCTTATAGATGGACTTATAAGGAAAGCTATGCTGAAAATAGTGCAAATTCTGACCCTATCCAACAACCATTATCTGTTTGACTTTTAGTTTATTCTTTCACTTTAGCAATAGAAATGCCACCATATTCTCAAACTCAGAAAAATTCAGCTAAATCCACCTGTTCAGATTTTAATATTTACAGGCTTACAACATTTACAGTTCCTCTGCTACTGTTTTTGATCACCTTCATTTTTTTCTTTTATCTCACTTCCATGGGTCCATAGACACAATATGACTGTGACCTATGATGAAATAAGCTTTTAAGTCTGTTTTTTAAAACAAAATATAAACTATTGTAAGAATTAAAACCCTTATTTTTAATTGCAGATCATCGGTTTTGTCCTCAAATGTTTAAGTGGCGTCTGTCCCAGAATAGATTAAAGGTAGAAGCAACGATCATTAATCTAAGTTCTTTTCCTTTTTGTTGCTCAGATGAACTTGAACCAAACTAATAAAAAATGCACCTTTTTAAGCAATTTAAACTTGTTTTAGACTCTAAAGGAGACGGATGATTGGCATGCGATTATTCCGAAATCCGAACTTTGATTAAACCATAATCTTGGAATAAAAGCACAAATGCCATATGTGGATGAAAACTAACACTGTATATTACCCTGAACACAACATCCCCAGAGTGAGGCATGGATGCTCTGGGGATACTGCTCAGAGTTCATGTGAAAGTTAACAGTATGCTCAAGGCCAAAAACTTTAAACAGACAGTCGGAGGTCTAGATCAAAGCGTGTCTGAATGTTGAAATGACCAGAGTAAACATCCAAATATATATGAAATCCAGAACATGTGGTAAAACTTGAAAAAACATTTTTTTTCAGACACCTGCCATCAACTCTGACTCAGCTTCACTTTAAATATTGTCCCTCATATAGAAAATCTAAAATTAAAGCCACACTGTGTAAGATTTACTCCCATCTAGTGGTGGGCTGAGAGAATCACAAACAACTGCAAAACACTCGGGTGTCGCTCTGTTAAGCACGAAATAAGTCGTAGGGAAATCATATTTAAATGTCAAAATATTCTGGCTTAAACATGAATATAAATGTTTTCTATATCAAATTATATTGTCCCCAAATTTAGAAAATTTCTGTTTTTAAATAAAATAGTGTTTTGTTTTTTCAGTATCTTATGCAGGCCAGTTAGTTATACATCAGCCTGAACACCTAAATTCGGCCAATCATATATCAACGGTCATCTGTCA